CAGATATGCCTTGCAAAGAGATGGTCAAGGTAAAAACAATTTTTGTTTTAAGCAATCATCTATCTGTGATTGAAAGCCATCATTATTATGAAATTTCAAAAAGTTTTGTACTCTAAAATTATATTATATTTCAGGTTACATGCCAGTGTGGACATAGGACTATGAGTCGTGTCTGTGCAGATAATGCACGAGAATATCAAAGGATAGCAAGCAATATATTGGCTAGTAAGATGGCCGATATGCAACTCGGTCACTCTGTCGATTTAGAAGAAGTGTTCGGGCAAGGTGCGAAAAAGCAGAATCAGTTAAAGACTTTGGAATGTAACGATGAGTGTAAGACAATAGAAAGAAACAGAAGACTCGCATTAGGACTGCAGATCGCTAATCCAGACTTAAGTGGCAAATTAATGCCCAGATATAGCGATTATATGAAACAGTGGGCTAAAAAAGACCCGCATTTCTGTCAAATGGTTCACGACAAGTTGACGGAATTAGTGCAGTTAGCAAAGACATCCAAACAAAAATCCCGGAGTTACTCATTTGAAGTTATGAACAGAGAAAAGCGTCATTTTGTGCACGAGTCGTGTCAGCATTTTGGCTGCGAAAGTCAAGCATATGATGAAGAGCCAAAGAGAAATGTTGTTGCTACTGCCGTAAAAGATAAGGTAAAAACTTGTTTAATTAAAGCATGTATCATCTTAGTAATGTATCGCATTGCAGTGTTGGTTACCAAGCTACAGTTTACTAGAAATGATACAAAGAGAGAAAGGACAAAGAAAGGTTCCAGGTCCAGTACTTAATACTTCGAAGGGAAATAATTCTACAAAGTAAGATATCTACATGGAAAGAACGATTTTGCTTAAATACCTAAAAATTTAGCTAGATACAGATTTGAAAATAATTTTGATTTAGATTATCAAAATAATTATGTACTACGCAAGTTATTAAAACTTTTTGTAACATTGTCAATAAAACAGGAATTGCTCATTATGTTTCAGTGTCCTATATAATAATTTTGACAGTCTAATAAAATTATTTATAAATCTGTATCTAGTTAAATTTTTTATTTTTTAGCAAAATCGTTTTTTCTACTAATTGTTGAATTAATATATAAATTAACGAATTAATAAATAAATGAATAATATGTAATTAAATGCATTGTAGGACTGTTCTTTCGTTACCTGTAAAACAGAATCAGCAATTGCTGCCATCGTCAACTCCTAAAACTGCTGACAAAGAAATAGATTATTTTGACTATCGAGATTAAACCATCAGTAGAATATAAAAGTCAACACAGGTTGTATAATGTATATAATATCATAAATAGGGCTTAAAAAAATGGGTACAATTGTAATTATGCTCTTAAAATGTGATGTGTGAAATTTTCATGTGCTTGAATTGTTCGAACAGTATGAATTTTAGAATCGAACTTTAAATTATTCGGATCGTTTGAGCTTGAAGATATTTGAATTGTTCTTGAATTAAATTTGGCTTCAAGAAAAAAACTTATTTTCTGTTTGCAATAAATATTTTCGCTCAATTTTTTTTAATGTAAGAATGATATATATATTATATAAATATAATATGTATATATATATATATACATACATTTACTAAAATTAACACTGTGACATAATATATATACATGTAAAACATAAGTTAATTCGCAAAGACTCCTTACTAATCACAAAGAAATTGGATAAAATAGGACAATAGGAGTCACGGTAATGGTCAGGTAATGGTTGCGTCAAACAATGTGAATATAACACAAAATTCTTTATTAGATAATCCGCTTAGATATTTCGGCTCATTTTTAAATGACTCAAGATAGATTCGACTAAAAAAATGAGCCGAAATATGTAAATGGGTTATCTAATAAAGAGTTTTGAGTTATATTCACATTGTTTATTGAGTAACAATTATCGCGCCTGACTCCTATTGCCCTATTTTATCCGTGTGTGTGTGTGTGTGTGTGTGTGTGTGTGTGTGTGTGTGTGGTGTGTGTGTGTGTGTGTGTGTGTGTGTGTTCAACAGTGAAGTATTCGAAATAAATAGAGTTCCATTATATAACTGTTCGAGTAATTCGATCGCATAATTTATTCGAATTTTTTTATCTTGTTTTAGTTAATATCATGATTTTGCAAGTAGAAACGCAAGACGTGTATTATAGTATCAATTATGCTATCGTTTTCGACAAACTCATAAATACTTATCAAACAAGAATCTAATACAGTAATAACAATTTTTATTACGTTTTTCTAAAAGATTTTGATAGATTAATTATTAGCTTGAAAGTATCATTTTATTGTAATTTAGAATTATTTGCAATATATTTTGTTGAAATAGATATAAAGCTGGCCTAAAAAAATGTAAAAGAAGAATCATTAATATACGTCTCTTGCTAAAAAATACTGTTTTTTCCTTATCATTCAAAGACTGTACGTCAAAAAATCGATTTTTTAATGTTTCAAAACGATTTCATTACTGCTTTCACCGCAATTGGTAAAGTATAATCGAATCATGACGTTGCGCTTATCTTAATGCCGATCGTGTCTCCAGATAAGAACTTTGTATATTCGAAATACACAGGAAAAGTGTATCATAACTCAATTTTTCTTCATCTTTATTTCTACATAATTCTTTTTTCAATCAATCTTTTACATAGTTATTGATTATATTGATACCTCTTAAACATAACAATATGATAATTCTGAGACTAATATGATAAAGCAATATAAATAATAGTGTATACTACATTACTACAAGACAATTTCTTATCACGGATAGAATATATAGGTATACAAAGTACCTAAAAAATCAATGGAATAAAAAAAACTCTTATTCTAAGTAAAATTATTTTTTGCTTGGTCAAAGTTATATATTGCTAAGAATAAAGTCAGTGCTAGATGAGGTGCTATATGAGGTATAGACTGTAGCTTTTATATTTTCAGGTGAAAGGTTTTGAATGTTTCCAAGATTTTCAGACATTTTTTTTATAATTCATTAATAACAGTTATGGCAATCAATCTTGATTGAATATGTATAATATTTATCATAATTCACAACTTCATTATACATACATATATTTAATGACCAAACAGTCATGTTGAGAAATCATTTGTAATTCATATATAGAACAATAGAGAGCTTTTCTATTGAGCAATAGAGAGCTTCTATTGAAAATTTTAGTAATACATCTTATATCTGTTTTATAATTATTGAATCTGCGCTCTTGCATCAGTAAAAATATCAATTATATATATGCATATATCATAATTTCAAAGTCCTTATCGATTAAAACGATAATTGTTTATTATTGTACATCCAATTGTATATAAATATTTATCTATATCTATATATAGTTTTGTAGAAGAGTTTTTGTTAGGATAATAAGACTTTATATCTCTTGTAAACATTTAAAATAGTTAACACGAGTATTTGGCACATAAAACATCAATGTTATATTTCAGAATACTACTTTTGTCAAACTATAAATTTCAAACAGATATTTACTCGCTGAGACCTTTTATGCTCCTGTAAGTATTACTACTAAATTTCTCACTTGTTCTATATTTGCTTTCATATAGAGATAAGTAGAATATTAGTACATAAATAGAAAGTCAACATTATTGAATATATATGTAAGCTTGTAATAAGAAGTAAAAAAAGATACAAAAATACTAATATTAATATCGAATACAAATAAAATATTATGGTATGCACACGTATCATGTACAAGATATAAGTTTAGTTATAAATCTGTAAAAATTAAAAATATATCACATTATAAATTAAAATTATTGACAGTGCATCAACATAATAAAATACCTATCTTAATTATATAAGACATTGAAAATACGATAAATTGTATATGATTGCAATAAAACTATGATATAGCTGTTTTTTTTTTATCATAAACTCACTTTTACAGTCTTTTATCTCACGGAATATAGTGTTATTTAAGCTTACATAAGCGTAAAATGGCCTCCTATTCTAAACACATAAATATGATATCACATGTAGGATCACAACACTGTTACAAATTCAACTTGCAGATAAGTCATTGTTGTAATTTTGTTGAACATTTAGTAATAGGGCACTTTGAGAGTTTGGATTCATACTTTTACTTCTAAGCATTGGTGCGGTTGACACACAGTAAAAACGCGTTATTTCACGTATTATCAATAAAAGTCACCTACTAATTTAACATCTTTGTTTATATACAGTCTATTTTTCTTTTCTCTTTCCTTTTTTTTTACTTTGAAAATATTCTTTCAAATTTTATATGTAAGTTAAAAAATGATATATATATAGATATATTTGTTCAACAGCAAAAAAATATATATATGTATATCTTTCAGAGAACATAGTAAAAGTCATTAAATTAATCCATCAGGAAACTAATCTAAATTTAAAAAATAGATATCTGTTTTTGTGTATGAATATGTGCATCGAATGAACACTTCGCATAAAAAGTGGTTTTTTTTTTAGAAATGTTACGTGACTATTGCATTTGTATTAGATATTTGTTTAAACATTTATTCCATGTTTAGAATGTTATACTCATCTATTGCTATATTTTCATATATAGCAAATTTTTCGAGAGACTCTGTCTTTCTTTTTTTATCATGTATTGATTACAAAAATGTCTTTGCATTGCATGTGTGTTCTGTCTCTTCGACAGAAACCATCATAATTCATATTAAAACTACGTATGAAAATAAGTCTTCAATTTTTTTATAATAATTCTTTTTTCGATTAAAAAGTGAGCTTTTAGTGAGCACACTTTAAGGAAAACGGCGAACATAAATTGTTGCGAATATTAGGGACAATATTATATATGTCTGTAAAATCTATCTTTAAAACAATCACGGAGTTATACAAAAAAAAAATTTATCTTGAAAGAGTAATATTAAAATCTGTGATAAAAAATATTAATAAAAATTTCCATTTGGCATCTTGATTTTTGAATTATGATTACGCTTAGATGAACTATTGCTTCATATATAAGGATTATTACCTCTATTTATGCGCGGGGAATAATTAGGATAATTGCTCAGATATTGATGTCGTGGACTTACTGATGGCTGCTTAGTTATATTCGCCATAGCGCAGCCCATCAGAAATTCGAATATCCTGGGTATCGTTTGATACAACAGCCACGGCCACGGCATGGGAAACTGCGTTGGTGCTGGTTCTGTACCGTATGGTACGGTTTCAGCAAAGAGTCCTAAAAACGAATCAATAGCATTATTTTATACATAAATATTATTTTATGCAAGTATTTCATAGTATATTAGGTGTAGTAAAAAGAAATCCATTATTTTTCCATTCATGCAAAAATAATGGATTTCTTTTTATTACACCTAATATAAAAATAAAATTATAATTTTTACTTGTTATTTATTATTGTACTATTATAAATACCATATGGTCCAAAAATACGAAAGGCATCCGTGACGGATAGAAGGATTCCTAAAATCGCAGTAGCACGTGTAACGTTTAATACTTTTTGCATCTGAGATTTCCTGGCAACTGCGGTATCTGCTTCCGGAATATGTAGTGGCGTATCAGATTTCGCTCGATTTACATACGCAATGTGATTCAGTATCGAATGAAGAGTGAAGTCTGTATTCTGGAAATAGCCGAGATCATATAGTTCTCAAATGACACATAAGTTTTAGGCATTTAAAAAGATGTCATTCGAAAGTCCAAGACTTTAAATGCATTTGCATTCTAATGAGTCTAATGATAATAGTAAGTATTACGTACCATAACTCTTGCTTCACTAGACGTATTTTCGGGAAGTAAGTTAGTTTCTGGCGTGATGTCTTCCGCGTCTTCAATATTTTTATCATTCCATGACAAATTTTTTTTGCGTACTTTTGGTTCTTCTTCTTTACTCTTGGATTTTTCGGTCATCAGCGCTGCCTTCTCGCTGCAATCAGGATGATCTGAATCTGATTCAGATTTCTCCTGCACCTCCGTTTTAATAGGTACTATACTCTGAAAGTGTGTGGGACTTCTATCTAGAGTTCTAATACTGATATCACTACTCCGACGATTTATAATTAACGGTTTAATGTGAATAAACTCGGAGTTGCGTCGATAGGAACTCTCGGAATTTCTCCGCGAGTCGGGTCTGGGTGATATACCAATATCGGAATTGCGTCTTGAACCTGAAATATTGTTAAACAATATAAAAACAGGATAAAATAAAAAAACAATAATATTAAACGAAGAAAATATAAACTAGAATATTTTTAAAGATTTACTTTTATACGAGCTACATATTTCTTTCTTACCTGCGGGGCTAACATCCAGGACTTTGGGCAATCTAGGATGTTCGTCAGGTGGCAACATTCTTCTGGGCGTTCTATTACCAAAATCGCTATTCCTCCGCAGCTTAACTGCGAACTGTGAGCCACGATTCTTTTCATGAGTAAAATCGGAGCATCGTCTTAGTTCCCTAGTGCTGCCTGTCGGTGAGATATTCTCAGAGTATCGTCGTGGACTTTCTGGCGAGCGATTCCTTTCAAACTCCTCTCGCATTCTTGGCAACGGTCTAGGGCTACCCTCCGTCGTGCGTTTGCATTCTGTGGTATTCTCCTCATTTATAAATCTAACGCTACATTCCGAATTTCTGCGCGAGGATTTTGTGGACGTGTCGCTACCTCGTCGACTGGTCATAGAACTTCTACGACTCGGGCTGGACACAGTTATAATTGGCAGATTAGCAGTTGACGGAGTAGGAGTGGGTGGTCTAACATAGACTTCCGGTACTGATGATTTTTGTTCCTGTGACGGTGATTGTACGGTACATATAGGTATCGTAACATTCTGTACTTCCTTTTGCGCTGGTCCTTCTATCTTACATATTTTGGTGGTAATTGTGGTTCGCGATTCTGAAAACAGATCTCAATAAAAAATACATATATTTCCGGGTGGGTGATTTATGATAAAATATTTGTTGCCTCCTATTACCTTCTGGAGGTGCTCCCTCTGCATTTTTATTCGCATTTACAGGCTCACTTTCCTCTGGACCTTTCATTTTAGCTGGGCCAAGTAAAGTAGGTACCAGCGCGGCAGCAACCGAAGTCGCCAGATTGCTATACGGTGCTAACATCGCGAGTTGCATGATACCTGAATTATAAATTTTTGTGATATTCCAAAACAAACGCTGTATAAAATATGCATGAATAATGAAAAGAGAGATCTTTTTAAGACGCATAAAAACATAATCATATAATGAAAGATAAGAATTTTAGAATAAAAATTACAAAAATTGACATACAAATAAAAAATCGATAACCAACCTTTCTGATGGGCATTGGAATTGTCTCGTGTCAACATACTACTTGGCATAGTCCGGAGCAAATGATCAATTTTGTAAGCCGCGTGTAGGAAAGCGAGATACAAAAGAATGCTCCAGACGAGAAATGCCGCTTGAACCATGTATTTCACCATGTAGCAATTATGGGAGGACAAAACAATGTCGCTGGCGATAATGAAGAAGAAATGTGCTGTTATAATGAGACTGAGGCAGGATTCCTTCTGTATCTTCTCTGGACCAAATTTTATCTAAAAATGGCCCATATGAAATATGGCAACGTTTAATTATATACTTAACTTATTCAATTTAAGCGATCAATACTTTTGTCAGTTGCAGGAAAGCCAATTGTATCAGACAAAAAGCAGATGTAATACATGGATATCCAATGTCCCATATAATTGAGCCAATGACTTTGGGCAGAATTTCTTTAAGATTGTACGCATCTATGAACAAGGAAGCAGCTCTCGATGCCCCGAGTAAACATAAGAATATATTAATCGTGGACATAAATGGCCTGGTTGATATGAGAGATCTGAAAGAGTTAACAAGTAGTTAAATAAAGACAAGTAGTTAAATAAAGCTTTCACTGATATCATCAATGCAAGCATAGCAATGTACCTTAAATTTAGAATAGAGAAGAGCGTGTAAAATCCTAGTACAAAGAAGAGGCATGCAAAGCTATATGCATGTAATAGAAACGCCCATCTTATGTCTTGTTGTATCGCACTCCATGAAGGTGCAGTGACCAGCGATTTGTTTAAGAGGAACGCAGAATTTGATGAATTTGATACACAGTTCTGACCTGTGACTTGGGTTGTTGCGTTTATACCTAATTAATGACAAAAACATAAAATTAAAAATGACCCATATATATGTGTGTGTGTGTGTGTGTGTGTGTGTGTGTGTGTGTGTGTGTGTGTGTACATATATATATAT